TTAAAATAAATCCTCAGCTTGGTTTTCTCTTGTCTATCCAAATAATATTGAATCAGAAAGAGAGGAACAGGCTGTTTACTGGTGTTGAGACTATCAGACTACTACTTATGTGACTAGATGATGACTAAAGTTAAGGTGAAAGTCGAAGCCTATCACCGCCCGAATTTCCACTTCACCTCCAGTCATCAACCGTTACCTCACGTATACTTCGTAATATACTACTGATATATCCGGTTCCTAAAGATGTACGATATCTAATGGTAGTATTTAATTTCGTATTAATCTGTTTATTGGATATAACACAGTGAAACGGTGTATTGTCTACTGGATGACAGACTTCTACATGGAATTTATTGTTTATAATCATATTAAATAGACAACCGTGAAACTTGATTTTAGTGGTTTTCCTTATTCCTTTACATTTGTCATAAGGCTACTAGAATCCCTCGAGTGTCTGAGAAACGTGTTGAATCATTCTTATTGTACTGATCTCCTACACAAATAGGAGATAGCATAAACATTTATAGCAAACCTGTCTTAAAATTACATTCATAAAGCAACTACCGATCCCTTGACAGCGATTAAAAGTTTTCTGTGGGTTGAATACCTACCGAATTAGTGAATATTAACACATGTTATTTTTCATCATTGATTTGCTGGAGAACTAATGTAATACTGCCATCACCAAGAATAAATTTAGCCAATCAGTCGAAACACTCATTGATCTACGCGACTGGCACCAACCAATGTCATCGATGGGACATCCACCCGCTCACGTGGATTATTTTGTATGTATGTGTACATTAAGTTTGTCAAACTAAGAAACAATTGGTTATGGTTATTTTAACTAAACAGGTGACAATTAGTAAGTTTTCTGTGGAGTTACGTAATACAAGAGCAGTCACGAAAATTAGGTGTTAATAAAACTAGGGTAGTAACAAAGGTGATGAGTTGTCACAATGGAGGTACGTAATAATATGAATAGTTTGATGATTGAGTTGCACTCAAGATACACTCAAGACAAAAAGTAGAGAACATGAAATCATGTAAGAGTTCTAAATGAATACTAGAACTATAAGCAATTAAAGAAACAGGCAAGTAAACAAATTAAGTTATCGAAAATCAACAAAGTTGTTAACATGATAGTAGAAGTTGTTGAGTAATTCTCTTTTGTATGTGAATGGCGAGAGCTTCAGCGATACAAAAAAGAGGAAACAGTTTTTCGATAAAGAAAGGAAGACAACATTTCCAGCATAAAATATTTCACAGGTTGTCATCAGCTGCAGACTACCTGAAATTACAATGATTAAATAAATGATAGTAACATACTTTAATGTTTAAGGGCTGGTAGTAGAGAAGAAATAGACAAAGGACAGCAAATTTACTACGATTTGCGGAAGCGATTGCAATCCCACGAACCAAAGCAGACTTATGAATACAGAAAGAGAGTGTGATTAACCTCTCACTTCCTTAGTAACTGAATTTTGATTTTGATTACATTAATTAGTCATCTATTTTAATGATCTCAATTCACTGAACAAATCCTAATCTTATAAACTGTAACCGTTTTTGTTTTTTGAGTTGCTGTGTGAACTTACAAGCTAACACTGTTCATTAATTTTTAATGTTTTCTGTCCTATCCCTCCCTCCTCTTTTCTACTTTGAAAATGTATGAATTGATGATGAAAACTTAAACTAAAAATTGTAATTCTTACATTTTAGATGCCTCAATTGCATAGTAATTCTTCTCTACTACCAGCACTTAAACATTAAAGTATGTTATTATCATCTATATAACCATTGTAATTTCAGGCAGTCTGCAGATGATGACAACCTGTGAAATAGAATGATGATATCATTTTATACTGCAGATTTCGTCTTCTTATCTTTATCGAAATTTATCAAGATCACGAAATGTATGAAGTCGTATTTCCTTTGGTAAGTTATTCTTAACTCTTAATATCAGTAAAAAGTTTGAGCATTGTGGATTAGATCAAATAAAGTATAATTATATTTTAATAGTTTACACACAATGATAAGTTTTGTTATTGGTAATATTTCGAGCAAAATTACTGCCCGTGTTCACACCACTGTTGGAATTGTTTTATTCCTTAACTCCTTAGGTTAACTTTAAGGAAGCTTTTGTGGAGATGAAATGATCAGTGTTAACCATGCGTCGATGGCATAGAGGTTAGGACGCTCACCGGTCAGGGGTTCGATCCCGGCCGATGCACTCTCACCTTATTAAGTCAGTAATAAAACTGGTAAAGAGGAAAAATTGGACATGAGGCTAGCAACTCTATCCCATAGAAATAAACACCGCTGCTACCGAAACTTGAAGCCTCTAGCTTGAAGCCCTATGTTCCACTGGAAACGTGAAGAAATAGAAAAAAAAACTCAAAAGAAACCAGGTGTCCGATTTTCTTGACCATTTTTGTAGTACGTAACTCCACACAAAACTTACTAATTCTCACCTGTTTAGTTAAAATAACCATAAGCAATTATTTTTTTAATTTGACAAACTTAATGTACACATACATACAAAATAACACATATATTTGTGACTGTACAGCTAAGTGAATGAATTCACCGAAAAGAGACTCTTCGCTGAACTACGTGTTTTGTTTTCATTATTACCTGGATGGGGATTATTCATGAATCTACTCTTTACACAGGTTTTTCAAGTAAAGTAGAAATCAACAACATATAATGTTGTTCGACTTGAGGCAAGATCCAATCGACCACATTCTTCTTCTTCTTTCATTCCCTTTAAGATATGGAAAGCAGGTGTGTGATTATATGTTATCATCGAAGGATATAAGTGGATGATTGAAACAAAAGGACAGACGTTTATTCACTATACTGGATGAAAACTTACATGCTGCAGTGATTTAAGCAGGCTACCCACTATAATCACTCCGAGAGTTTACTTTCTGTTCTTTATTTGTTTTTTTTTTAAGAAAAGGTTTTTGACTTTTCAGCCAAAGTTAATAACAAAAAAGATGAAACTTTTATCGACCGCCTACAAATTACTTTACACCCATTTTATCACATAGACAGGCATTATTGACTAGATTAATTTTGTCAACAAAGTTTAATCATCAATAGCAATTAGAAGATGATACACAATTTATCCATCGATTTTTTTATTGACTGTCTGTGATAGTTTATTTCTTCAACTTTGCTAAGGATAACCTAAAACTTGGACGATGTGTTAGTAAATATATGTGTGTGTGTGTACGTGTTCTAAGGAAACGTTTGTTTTCACATCTTTAGATAATTTGACCAAAAAGTAAAGGAGGAGTATATGGAAGTTCTCTCTGAGTTTATATTTCCCATTTACCGCTGTTTGTGTTTCCGTCCATTGAGTTCCAAGTGGAACAGAGAACTTCAAGGTTTTGGATTTAACTGGAAGTGGTGTTGGTCTTACTAGATGGAGTTCCTAACCTCATGAACAACCCATTAGATTTCATGGGCTCGCAACCGGCCAAGTAAACTGGAAGCGGATTTGGTGTCTGTGGACTGAGATTCAAACCTGGATCATAAGCATGATCGGCTAGCATTCTACCCCTGAACTACTGTTTAAAATTCAACACTCAGGATCTTCAGATTATGAGGTGGGGATGTTTACCATGTTGCCCTGAAACCAACCACTAGTACTGCTCATTATTTCAGGTGTGAGGACATATACTGATCAACGACAAAGGATTCTGGTGGCACCATATCACAAGCTGATTGAAATTAAAGCTTATAATCTTGGATATTTTCAAATTTAGTGGCTGAATGATGCATGTTATGGCGGTGCAAACTAAAAGTCATGGATACACACCACTGAAGAGTCCCATACTAGGACGAGGCAGCTACTTACGGCCTTCTAGCTTTCACTTATTATGCAACTGACCGTTTATGACAAGAATTATTCTAAAATCTGATGGATCCTTCCAAATTCAAGGTCTTAATTCAACCACATAAGGATCAAGTCAAACTTTAAGCACCACTTACTACCAATCAAGTGTGACGTACCGGTGACCTTGAAACGCTCACTGAACAAGTTAGCGAAACCTTGCAAATAATGTTGTCATCATCAATGGAATATCCTTATCGAAGTGTTATGCTATTAAATGGGATATCTTTGTTTGGGAAAGATTATGGTATGCTTTAAGCCAAGGACAAGTTAGGGTTAGGTTAAACTAATAAAGGCAACATTAGGATTGGTACGAGTTAGATCACAGTTAGTTAAGAGATCTTTGCATGTTAGGGTTAGGTTCAGGAAGAATTAGGATAACTGTTAGGGTTAGAAGACCCATATAATTGCATACAGAGAATGTGATTAGATTCCTCTGTTGATGTAGAAAATAGAACCTGTGCACTGCTGTAGTGTATAATTCCATTGTCGGTAAAATTTATTTTGATAGTCGCTCAGTGTTGTACAGTAATATTTACTGATGTCGTTTCGAACACAGTTTATTGCCCCGTAAATACTGACGTATTACACTATGAGACTTTATCAAAATAAATTTTACCCGCAACGGAATTATACTCTGTTGATACTCCAACCTAAAACTGAGAGCTATTTTTATCACATTTGAGAGGAAGGTATCGTCTGTACCACTTTTCTACAGTTTTTATGCATTTTTTTCATAAATATATGTAATTCATACATAAAAATTCCTCATTCACGTGATTGGTGCATTCAAGGTCATTCTCTGATCGGTAGTTAGTGGTGCTTGAAGTTTAACTTTGCCCACATAAGCTAGTTGAACCACTTAAGCAATAAAATATTATGTGTTTCGAATATCAGATAACGGCTATAGTAAGTTTAAAAATTATTAAATATATTATATCACTATATCAGGTGACACAGTATAGTGATCATGCCATACGAACACGCAAATGGTTTGAAAAGAGGTTCAAATAAATGAAACATTTTTAAATCATGAAAGTGATCGAGTTAATAAACGGAGTTTATAGTTGTTGCTTTGACTTATAACACTTCATACCTTTTCTTCAAATGGTCTAAAATCCTCCTCTTTCTCATCAAAATCACTATCTTTGTACATTAATTTCTGCGTTTTCTTGTCCAATAAATCACGTCCAGTTCTTCCCCAGACATCTCGATAATAAATTTTCACTCCTCGCTTTAATACTGTAGCTAAAATCAAACTCGCCCAATGAAATCCATTCATATCTTCTGGATGTATTACACGGAATAGATTTGCAGCACAATGAAATAATGAAGATCCATTCGAGTCTCTTAAATGAATAGGAGCTTCTTTAATAACTTCATATGTGTGCTGAAGACTGACAAATTCTTTGAAACTCCAAAATGCCACCGGACCAAATGGTTCTGTTTCTACGAAAATAATTAATTATTCAGTATATTTGTTGTAAACTTATAATTATATATTTGATGTAATAATGTATTAATTTAATTAAATGAGTAAGGGAATCATTTACGTGTCATACACAAAGAGTACTTTGATTGAACACTAGTAACTAGTGTGACGTGGCCACTATTCTAGGTAGCTTGCCATCCCGGTGCACATTGGTTTGATGATATTAGACAGTTGGAGGCAAACGGCCATAGGAAGCCTTCGACCTAGGTTTCATGATAGCTGGCACTCACCAGTCAGCAGGGCGTATCTTCAACCTTGAAGGAACTCATGTCTCCTCTGAGATTTGAACCCGCGTCACTCAGTGCTGCAGTCAGAGACTTCACCACTGAGCTATTCAGGCTGGCGATGGGGAACTACCTAGAACGATGGCCATACTGCAAACCTGACTGATAGAATTCAGTCCGCACCAAAGAAAGGACTAGACACACACATCACACTAGTTACAAGTGTCCAATCAAAGAACCTATGAAAGATCTAAAATGAATAAATAAATGTATCTCAGTAATTACTTACAATCTTTTCGATTAAATAGTGAGGTGCACTCACACCACAATAGACTTATAATACACATTATCTAAATTTACACACCTTTTTTGTGCCAAGGAAACTTCAAATAATAAATGTTCTGTAGTGAATCTATAAATAAAATCCCGTTTAAGTTACTACAATTAGGAGGATTTAGTGTGATTTCGGGAGTCAATGAAATCCGTATCAGTTTAAGCCACATAGGGAGTTGTGGACTTCCTGGTTGTGGTCCTCGGAATGGGAAGAACTAACGACAGCTGGAGATAACTGGTGATATGGCTCAAAATTGTTCTCAATGGCTGGCGCAGACGCACTCACTTCTTATGATTTGTCACATCTAACAAAACTCTATTGTTCTTCCATATTACTATTCTTTTACTTTGACACTTGTGTTTATTACCTCTTTCTCTTTTCAGCCTCTATTTACTCTCTTCTCTTGCTTTGTGTGCTACATGGAGGGAGTGTGGCAGCTTGAACTGCTGCACATCTGTGCAAAGTTCTGCGTGGAAAACAGTCAGTCATTATGAGTTACTGTAAGTTATTATGAGTACACCAGTTTAGAGACTGCATCTTCATTCGTCCCTGAGTAAGTTCAGAACATTTTAGAGTTTCTTTATTGCCATGAATGTCAGTGTCCCTAGGTAAATGGAAAAATGCAATATCGAAGAAGTTTTTCTCTTTGACGGTATCATTTTTAAAGTCTATACAATCGTACTCACATTTGATGCGTAATAAATTAAAAATAAACAAATAGAAATAATGTCTCCCATAAAATTGAGATTATCAGGTGGAGACAAGGAGGAACAGAAATTAAAGAAATATAGGTCCATGTTACACAACCTAGAAGTTTAAAATCTGGTAGAACTGGAAGGAGAGAATAAACAGATAAAAATTTATGGAAATGAACGGATACAGATGCTACTCATGCCTCAATTAGTTAAGAAAGTGAAAGTACAGGTAAGGTAAACAATTCAGAATTATCAATGATCTTTGTACGCAAGAACCATATAGTTGAAGGCATTCATTATGTTAACTGCGGAATCTATGAGCCATTTTGAGTTTGCAGTGAGAATAAGCAGTATGGATGAGCGTCAAAGCCAGAATTAGGAAAGTAAGACAGGTACTGAAGATCAGATCACAAATGATATGCAATAATTAACTCTGGCAATACAGAGAATCAACCAGCTACATATTACCAAATAAATAGGGGTGGATCAGACATACTCTAATGGGACCATTTAGTGACATCACACCTCAGATCTGGAGTGGGACACAAATGAGATGGGTTAGGTGTGGCTCAGAGTGTGAAATGATAGTAATAGTAAGAGGTAGTCAGTTGTGAAGCCATCCGAAAAGCCGACAGAAAAGAGAATATGGGGGAGATATACTGCTGAAGCTCTATGTTACCCTGAGAACACAGGAAGAATAAAAATAAATAACAGTAAGAAGAGGCTGGATATCCATAGATGACGAGATACTCAGGAATAGAGATACTGGCATTTCTTTTCTTTTCTGCCTAAAATGAATGGAAAACTTTGTCAAATATATTTAAGGACTTAGCGCTGTTTATAATGTAATTTACCATGCTAGGACATGTAAGGTGATGAGTATACAATGAAATGGCCAGAAGGAAGTCTTTGTCGCTAATGCTTAAGTGGACTAACTGCTAGACGGAATAGGTAATTTTTAAAACACTTCTATATACCTTAATGAATATTGCCCTAGCAACTGAGGTAGCGTTATCACTCCTTAACTTCAGTCACATTAAGAGAGTTTTCCTTAGAGTATTCAATATATTGTGTTTCCTTAGGGGTTACATGCACGCTATAGCAGGCAAATCTGGCTAGGTATTCATTTCTTCACGAGGTAATACTTAGAAATTTTAATCCAGTGTCTATTTTACATTCAGGATGAATCCATAAAGTCCTTTAAAATAAAGAACACGAGACAATTTGTTTCTTGATCAATTAAATATAGTCTAGGATAGTAATTGATAACATTTCTTTTCCGTAGTAAATTCAAAGCATGTATCAATTTGAACAAATATATGAAAAGTTTTGTTAGTGATAACCTGTTGGCGTCATTGTTAAATGAATAATATTCATCAAAATGCATATTAACATATAAAGTGGTATTAGTGGGGTAGAATTAATGCAATTATAAACATCTAGATATGATAATAATATTGAAATACAAGGAACCATCGTAAAAAACAACTAAGTAAATTTAACATATGTAAACCATCCATAAAGGACTAAATGAAAAGATTTTACCACGTCTGACTTAAACTCATATGATAGTTTAAACACTCCCCATCAAGATTAATACTCAACTATGATTTTTCAGTTTGCACATTTCCTACAAAAACTAACAGTATTATTATTTCCTTGGGTTCCGAGTGGAACATAGAGAGGGCTTCAGTAAAACATCTCCACTTTTTTCTATTTTCTGCCGTCCTTTTCAGCTGGGTCCACGATTGACCATAATCTCCCATCCCCTCCTCCCCAAACGATCTCCTCCATGTCACCCTCACACCGACCACCCACTTGTCGCTTCACATTGGGATTCTACTTGAGTAATCATCTCCACTGTGTGCGATGTCATTCGACTGCGTCCTCAGTGTATGACGGATCCATAGATCTCCATTTTCTTCTACATTTTTGTTGAGCAATCGGCTATTGGTTGGTTTGTTCCTGGCCATAGTTTCTTGCTGCTAACTCTTTGTGGGAAGTTGATCTTCAGTATGGAGTGAAGGCAGCTGTTGATGAAAGTCTCCAACCTATTGGAAATCCCTTTCGTGACACGCTGGCTAATTTTCTGACCCGTATAGAAGGACTGACTTTATATTTGTGTTGAAAATCCGAATCTTGTTGTATATTCTGAATGAAGTGCAGAAGATTTCAAAACTGGTTTCAAGTTGGTGAAGGTGTATCTTACCTTTCCAATTCTGGCTGACCAGCTTTGATATCTTCATCCGTTCCGACTGCCTGTAGTTAAAATGATGCTTTCCAGATAACTGAAGGATGGAACTCCTATCGAATCTCTCGCGTTGATGATGACCGATGCTGGTCGTTGGTTGGTTAGTTGTTTATATTCATTACCTCCATCTTCTCTATGCTCACCTGGAATCCTGTCTTCTCTGTCAGTTTCTTCAGCCAATTTGTTGATTAATTGCCTGCAAGTCTTCGAGGTTGTGTGACACTAGACAAAAATAATCCACATGCGAAGTCCATATCTTCCAAAGTTGTATTCTCGGTGTTCCGGCGTATATTGAATAAAATAATACCAATCATAATGGAAAAACCATTGTAAAGAGAAAGGGGAAGGGAAAAATATCCTACCAATGTAGCTGAAGGTGACTATTGTCGCATTTTGTGTACATAGATCCAGCTTCTTCAATCGGATTGAGCAGGCCTTAACAAAACCAAAAGCTTTTTTATTAACTTGCACATTAATAAGTGTAAAACATTTGCTCATTGTCATCATATGATCAAAGCTGAATAAATGTCGCGTCACTGAGCTCCTTGGGATGCCATCATGAGTACTAGGAAACCATTCGGCGTAGCGTTTAACGACGCAAGCCACAAGAAATCTTTCATACGCCCAATGTAATTACTTCCACAAGCACATATAAATTGATATATTCATTCGATGTGGTGAGGACTGATGTCTTCACTTGTTACCTGCCCCATCTCTTTGTTGGGTTCACGAGCAGCATATCAGCCGCATAATAGGTTCGTTTAATCGCTCTCCCTAGACTACGTTTCACCAAATGGGTTACATTATCTCCTTTGAAGGGTGACTTTATATAAACCGTCTTTTTGGAAACAGTCACTAATATTACTTTACTGAATACTCATTTCTCACCCGTGTCTTCCTCAAGAATTTCTCCTCGTAGTCCAGTCTGATGCTTAAACATATCATTCTTGCTCTATCGAATTGTGTTCTTATCAAACTCCTTTTTTTTATGCACTGGCACGAAGCTGTTAAACTGCACAGATTGTCGAATACAAGTTGTTTTTCTGTAAATTGATCTCTGTACAGTTCAATCAGTCCGTTTAAGCATCATTGTTTCCATGTTCCGCTGTCAATTTTTTGTACTAGTGTGGCACGAATTAAATTTTCCTAACATTATCTTGGCTTCAACCTCGCCAGATACTAGCTTGCTAGGCTACTAGCTTACTAGTTTTCTCGCCGGTCCCAAGCCCGGGTAAAGAGGGAGGGTTGGGGCGTGGTGCTAGCAACTCCACCCCTGTAAAACAACCAAATCGCTACAGAAACTTCAACGAATAAATATATTAAAAATTCTAAAAACATAAGCAATAGCCTTACTTTTCGCTGGAATCGGGGAAGTGAAATGACGCAGGCTGGTGAAAGCCTTCGGGAAGCCAGTCAGCCGATGTGCCTTCTTTCGATGAAAGCAAAAGTAAGG